GATGAGAATGGCAAGTCAGGAAATGGAGAGAAGATGGACCTGATGCAAAGGTAATGTATTAGTAACTCAGGGTAATGTTGTATGATGAATACACTATACCTGGGTGGATTTTTGTGATTAGTGTGTTCTCTTCATGTCAATTGTACATGAGACTAATCTCGGCCAACTGCTTGTTCCAAGTATAACCACTGTAATACATTTCACACAGAATTTTTGGGGGCTGATGCAAACTAGTGGTTCCTTGTATTCAGTGTCCGTTTAGGAAAACATGCATTCTCTTGTCAGGGTAGTTTGTATGATATCTGTAATTCAGCTTCCCACCTTGAACTGGTATAAACTAAAATAATAGCACACAAATATATATATATACATACTTATTTACATACGAACAATAGCTATATATTACTTAAAGGAACTGAATAAATTAATTAATATGCGATAAAAAGAAAATAGTGAGCTGTATTTCTTACAAGTTTTCCTATCAATTCAACTACAGTATATGGTACATATTCATCTTCTACTGAGGAAAGCCCATTATATTGAGTTATCGCCATTTTCTATATACAACTTTGGTATTACCAGGGTAGCACTGTTTGAAGTGTATCACCATAGGTGCATATGTAAATCTTTTTGTGTGAATTTTCACTAACATTTCACAAATTAAATTCATAATTTTGTTTTTTGCAGGATTAAAGGTGCTTTTCCATCTGTGCCGTCATTTTCAGTACCATCCAAATCAAATATACCATTCATCACTGATTCACCAGATGAAGCCGTTAAAACAGACACTAAAAGTTTACTTCCAAAAACACCACAATCTGAAAAGGTTTGTAAAACAATCTTGATATCTATTTGTAATGTGTTGTGTTGATACAACTCAGTGGTGGCAAAATTCCAAATGCAGTTCTGAGTATCACTGGTTATCCCTCTTTGAAACAGTACATTTAGTTGTTTGATTACGCATGTAATTGATGAGTGCAGTAAACGGTTGCCTCTTGTGGTGAATTGGGTACCTGCACTTATGGTATATTGTAGTTTATCAAATCAAAATTCATAGTCATTTTTGCTATAAACAAACTACTGAACTGAATGTGGTTTTTATTGTGTTTATTACCTGATTGTGCAGCGTTTGTGTTAAGTATATACAAACTCTTCTCTTCTTAGGAACCTACCCCATCCAAAAAAGGTGCTGTACAAAAAACTGCACCTGTAGCAGAGGATAAAGCAAAGGGGGCAGAAGCAGAGAAAGCAAAGAAGCAAATAGAAGAAAGAGAAGCTATAAGACAAAAAGAAAAAGAAGCTAAAGAAAGGGAAGCAAAACTTATTGAACAAGAAATTGATGAAGCTGCAGATGAGGCTGGTAAGATTACTTTTGAATCTTGCTCTGATAGAATCTTGTTTCCTCAACAGTCTTTGAAATGTTAGTGTAGTTTGAATTGTGTTGGATGCTATCAATGTTTTATATGATAAGGGTATGCAACTTTTATATCTATAAATCTATTCACTGTAGAATACTTTTTGCTTGAAATTTATTTTCGCTGAAGAGTTGATTCTGTGAAAATAAAATCCAGCGAATATATTTGTTTCCCTATATTTCACATTCAACTCAACAAAAATCAGTGAAAATAAATTCCATACAAAACACCCAAAAAGCCTTTTCAGCAAAAATTAATTATTAAAAATAAAGTATTTCACAGTATTAGAGTTATAATAACCCCCCCCCCCTAATCAGTTAAGTTATTTCTGACCAATTGCAACACAGGGTGCATGCTTGTTTGGCAGGTTCAATAATAAGATAGAAATGAATGTTATTACCATATTCAAAAAGGTAAAAATACCCCCACCCCCACCCCGGCGATCTTTTAGAAAAACTGTCTTTTTTGGGAGCAAGTACTGGCTCCAAATTATTGCGCAGGGCAATCTTTTAGTGCTTTTTTATCACTACTGTACTTCAATTCATAATATAATATATTGCTGGTAATAACAGGTTTACTCATTCGTGGTAATCACAAATTTACATCATAATCTTGAACACTCATCACGCAATTACAAAAAACATAAAATGAAAACGACTCCTGAATTCAATATTTATATTTCTGAAACTTAACTCTGCACTAGATATTTTTGGCAACTTGTAAATAAAGTTGCAGTGTTTTTTTGGCAACCAAAAGATCACGCACCTACTGAAACATCACCTATAGGCAAGTTTGTCTGACAAATAATACACATTCCTTAAATACACAAGGACACAGACTTTCATTTGCATTAGTACAGTGTACTCATCTTATAATTAACGTGACATAATTTACGGTCATCATCGCATATCCCACCAGTTGTGTACCCAGGGGTTTTTCTAGAAAAGAGGGAGCACTGCAATTCAGCGGCACCTCCAAGTGGGGGAGATAGGGTTTTCCCTACCAGGGTGTGGAGTTTTTGATAATTCTAAGTTAAAATGGAGCTATCCAATAGGTCACAATTGAAGACTGTGGCAACATGTGTTTCTTGGTCAGTCAGAATTTTATGGTTGCCAGAGGATCTGCTCCCCAGGGTAAGGGGGTGCATAGCCATGGCATGAGGGTGCTGCGCCCCTGTTCCCTTGTTGTACCCTTATCTTATAAGTTCTTTATATTTTACATGTACATATACAATGAGTTATTAATAACAGGTTTATCTCATGTTTCAGCTATGCATGCAATAATAGATTCAATGTTAGACTCCTGTGTTGGTGTTTCACATCGTGCTATTGATTCTCAGCATTATGCCTTAGACGCTATTCAGATACACAGTGATCAACTTAAATATGCCATGGATGATTCCAAAGCAGTAAGTTTATTTTTATTTCTATTTTCTGGTTGTTTTGCTAGGTAATCATATGCATATACATTTATATTATAACTACTTATATTCAAGAAATCCTTAGTGATTGGACGAGAAATGATCATGTGGTATAGAATACATTACCCCTCTGTTTATGCAAATCATACCAACAGTTCCCTCGGTTTATTTCGCTAAGTCAAGGCTTGTAAATATAAATATGTAAATAAACACCATTGCGTAGGATAGCCAAGTTAACAATAGAAAATTGGGACATAGAAATGTAGTAAGAAGTGGAGAAACGGAGAAAAACTCGCCAAAACCAGATCGATATTCCAATCTTATGATATGAGCAGCTCTCTGGATTGCATTCGCACTCCCACATGTAGCATGGCAACACAAATGACACATACAATTTGAAAATGTATTACAAACACAACCAGGAAAGCAAATTCTGATCTTTATTTGCCAGATCTCAATAACAAAATATGATACTACACAACTACATGCCTCATATACCCTTTATTTGCAGCTACCGTAATAATGTTACTTCTTTATTAGCCCCGCTGTCGACTTTGTCGAGCGGAGCTTATCATATGAGTGATTGTCCGTCGTCCGTGTCAATGTTTTACTTTTTCGACTTCTTCTTGAAAACTACAAGCCTGAATACTTTGATACTTGGTGTATATGTACCTTGGGTACTCCTCTCTTAGATTTGTTCATCTCATGATGATATCTTCAATTCTCTGTTTTTGATGAATATTTTTGTAATTTTTGGTAAAAAGTAATATTTTCCACTTCTTGTTGAAAACCGCAAGTCTGATTGTTTTGATATTATACATATCGTTCATTTTCTAATGATATCTTCTGTTCTTTAATTGAAATGTGCGGAGCTATCTCAGCTGAGAGGCTGCTTGTCTTTTTCTAAAGGTGATTTTGTATAATTACAAAGCTTTTTTAAAATATATGTCAACATCACCTAAAATGTGATGAATTATACTAATGAAACACTTAATAAACATTGTCTTAACAGAAAACGTCAGAAGAAAAACAGATGCAGTGGGAGTCTGTGACTGGAGCACTAGATGCTAAGAAGGATGCTATTGCTGTGGCTGATTTAGATTTAGACACAGCAAAGTAGGTGTGACCATGGTAATTTAAATGTAGACATAGCAAAGTATGTGTAACCATGGTGATTTATATTTAGACAAAGCAAAGTTAGTGTAACCATGATGATTTATTAGTTGATGACACAGCAAAGTAAGTATAACCATGATGATTCAGATGTAGACACAGCAAAGTTAGTGTAACCATGGTGATTTAGTTGATGACACAGCAAAGTAAGTATAACCATGATGATTCAGATGTAGACACAGCAAAGTTAGTGTAACCATGGTGATTTAGTTGATG